GGAATATTTATATTTTCACACACAAAATATTGTTGTTAGAGTATACTTTTGTATTAAAAATAGTTTTCTTTTAACAATTCACAAACGAATAATTTATTTTTACTTTGAGTAGCATTTTGCCAATATCCCAGTGTACACAAACAGGCGTCGCCCGGGGAGCCTGGTAGTTTGGTAGCCCGGCAGGGGATCCTGGGCAGCATCTTGCGCAGTGCCCAATTGATTTTCACGGTGGGACGGGCCTGAGAACAGGAACGAGAACGAGGATGAGGACGAACTCAGTCGGGCCTGTCTTGGTTGTCAACCGAGCTACTTTGGCCCATCCACGCTTGGCTTGGCACAAGTCAAAGCTAGTTGGAAGTCAATGCGCTTGAGTGCATTGTGGCCCGGCTTTATCTTCACTTTTCGGGGCTGCTCTGCTTTTGTTTTAGCGAAATTTTCGTCAAAATTGCAAGTTAAATAAGTAAGTACAAGGCACGCGGCAATGACAACGCGTAGACGTAGCCAAGTAAAGCAAACACAAAACGGCAAAGGAATCTGGAGTCTTGAGAATAGCATGAAGAAAAACCATCAACTTAATTTCCCGCTCAAGTCAATCCAACTTTTGTGCAATTTGCGTGACAAAATGGGGAAAGGAAAACCGAGCGAAACTGCGAAAAGAACTGAGTGGAAGCCACAAAGTTTGATTGCAATTGAGACAAATAGGGTAGCAGAAAGAAAAAAAATCTCCACACTACTGCGCCTGCCGAATAATAAATGTCCTGGCACCTTTGGCAAAAAAACTTTTGAGCCTTTGATGCGAGCATGTGATGCATTTTATGGATTTCCGATGCTCTTGCCCTTCTTTCAAAGGGGTATTTCATGCAGCTCTGCATTTAATTGAATTGCCAGCAATAAGCAATGGCACACACGCCACAGGACTTTTTGCCAGGCACTTTTGCCAACTTCTTTGTCGCCAAAGGACACGGGACAGGAAACTTTGTGAGAAATTCAAATAATATACCCTAAGCTATATATATCAGGTGTCAAAAGGATAGACGAAACTGTCAATATGGGTAGATGCAACCTGGAGCTTGCTATTATTGCATCCGAGCACAAAGGCACCGCCAAAACCACGACTAAAAAGAATTCCGAAAGCTTAATCAAATACGCATGCTCATTAAACTTTTTCAATTTAAAGCCTTTGGGTGTCAAGTTCTGCGGTCTCGTGCGTCAACTCATTAAAGTTGCATGGCAACAAAGTTGCCAAGTCACCTCCGCCTCCTCCGAAGCCCCCAAAAAACTCCCAGAGGGCTGGAGCTCCACTTGAAAACTCAACTCAAGACCAAATGGCATGTCATAAATTTCAGCCACAAAATGTATCTCAGCATGCGAGGAGCAACAGTGGCCGGTATACAATATGCAAATGAAATTATCGAGCCCATCCTGGAGGCAAGAGCAACGCATTAGGAGAGTTCCCCGGAAAACCCTGGCCAGAGTGTCGGAGTGGTCGGAATAGAGTGCACATGTGGCCCCGACCTCCGACCAACGAAAAATATGGTCCAGCACTTGGGCCACATGCAAATACATCGGTCTGCTCTTCCGAAGGAGAATTAAAAACTGAGATGTTGGCCGAGTCAAATGGGAGTGGCTTATGCCAATGAAATCACTTTCGGTTCGGCAATTGAGAGGATTGCCTTCAAGGAGTAACGAAAATTGCTAGTTTGCCATCATCTCGCCACATGCAGAAAAAAGGACCCAAAAATTAAGAACTGAAACACCTTATTCTGCAAATGGGGAAATGGGAAATATTTCTCTGGGAATTGGAATTATTACTATGATGAATTTTGGCAGTCAAATAAGAAGTGAAAGTCAAAGTAAAAATCATAAGGATTAGTTCCATGATTTCGAAATTTAACGATCATTAAAAATCAGTCACTAAAGTGCCCCATTTTTTTTGTCATAAGTATAGATTTCTTTTAATATTAAGACTTTTTCTTCAGTTTGCTTAGATATATTATAGTAATTAAAAAATTAAAAAATAAGCCTAAATATATTTTACTGTACCTATTTAAAAGTAGTTATTAAAGTAAATAAAAATATGCCAAACTATTAAATATATTTAAAATTTTGTATTAAAGTAAATAAATAGCATCGTAAATATTTGAATGTATTTTAAAATGGTTTTTATTCCACCTGCGAGCCCAAGGATCACCTGCTGATGTCACCCTAATCGCATTTAATTAGAAAACGCAAATTATGCCACCGAAAACTGGCACTAGAACCCGCCAAGTTGGCATTTGGCATGCGGCCGGGTCTTAGCCACAAACTCAGCGTTCAGCATTCAGCATACAGCATTTGGCATCCAGAATCGGGCTGACACGTTGCCGCACTTGCCCGGCTTTTAATGAAATCGCATAGCATATGCTACGACGAGTGGGCAGGGTGGTTAGTGGGTGGTTGGGAGGGTGGTTTTGGGTGGCTGTCACTCCCACACACACTCCCACACTCACCTGAAGTTTTATTTCAGCCGGGGTCAGGTGGGTCAGGCCGGCAGTCAAAGCTGACACGCACACGCACATATTTAGGCCGGGTCGAGTGGGTGGGTGGGATGAGCAGGAAACGGATGTGGAATGTGGAGTGTGGGGTGTGGGGGGTGGCCCTCATTCCTAGCCCAACTGTGATAAGAAAGTGTCAACACAAACGTGACAAAGCTACAAATGTTTAATTTTTATGGCTGTGCTCGTCGCTTGTCGGCCATTTGCCTTGGTTTGTGGGCGGTCGCTGGTTGCGCGTGCCTCGCCGCTTAACTCAACTTATTTACAGTTGGCCAAAAGGGTTCGAGTTGCCAGGCCACATTTGGTCAAGCTCTCTGCGCTCTTTTTGTGCCGAAAATCACGTTTTTACCGTAAACATGTTGCAAAGTTCGCGGCTGTTTTATCTTCTGGCATAGTTTTCCCCCGCTTTTCCAGTGGGCCAGTGGGTCGAGAACGTGTCGCCTGGCTTAGAGAAAAATGTTGGAGTTAAATATTTAAATTTAGTCCTGAGCATTTGTTTGCTTGCTCCTCGCCTCAAGTTAAATTAATTTAGTACACATTTAGGGGGTATTTAGCCAAGCTTTGGCAAATACACAAAAATCGCCGAGGAAAAAACTTAATTTCTATGCAAGTTTTTCGGCTTTGTTTGGCTGGCTAAAAATTTTAATGCATACCCAACAACCAACAGAGGCATAATGAATGTGCAGCAACATTTTTGATGGCGCCCGCTGACAACAATAAATTACTTTTGGCTTTAAACGAAAACCATTAGCATAAAACTTGGCAACAGCAACAAACAGCGGCCACAACAGCACAACCAGCCAGGCCGACAACACATCCTTTTAACGCGGATATGCGGATACTAGGATACTAGGCGTATGCGCAATATTTGTCTGGCTCTAATTTTAGCCAACAATTTGCCAGCACTTACATGATTAAATTGCAGCCTCGAACGCTGCTGATGATGATGATGGGGCTAGATGGCCGGGATATACCAGTAATGGTGATGTGATGGGAAAAGCGGTGGGTAAAGCTATGGGGTAGGGGTGGGAAAACTTTTCAAATATGCGAGTCTTTTAATTAACTTGCCGGCACTTGTGAAGCTCTCTGTGTTTTAATATATTGTACGAATATTCCCTCTTTCGACCCTTTTTACTCACTTTTTCATCTTCGTTTTTTTTCGCCCAAGCATGCTTTTATTAAGCGTTTCATAATTTCATGCAGTAAACTTGCTAATTGCGCCGCCTTGCTTCCTTTTTCCTCGGCACTCAACTTCACTCTTCACTGCTACTTCCACTTCCACTCCACACAACTCAACTCAACTCGTTTCGCTATGCCGCCCTTTTTGGCCAGGCCAAGAAAGCTGCCAAAAAAGTGTGTATAAAATAATAGGAAAACATGGCAAAGGACAGCCAAGGAGCGCAGTGAAAGCCAGTGCGAATTAGTTGCCCCAAAGTGTTTTCCGTTTTTAATATTTCCTTGAGACTTGGGACTCGACTTGGGAAAAAGTTGCCAAGGAACAGGCAAGGCATCCCGGCCACTTTTGGAGACTCTTGGCCACGGCTCGTCGCTTTTCTGCCGCCTTTCGGCCACTCGGTTCACTTGCTCAATTTCCGCTTTTAATTAAATGAACATTAGGCTGAGCCAACGAAAAAACCAACCACCTGATGGCATTTTCCCGGCACTGGCTGCATTTTACATTGCATTACAGAGATCGCCCAAATTGCGCGTAAATTGCATGCAGTTAGTTTTAAATTTTAAAATTAATTTTTAGCCCTTATTTGACGCTCTCAACTGAACTGCAACGAACTGGCCTTGTGTGTTTGTTCATTTTAATAGCTGTTAATATTTATGAACTAAAAGTTCAAACAACAAACAGCCAAATAGAGAGCCAACTGTTGTCGATATTTAACGATGCATTCGGTGGGGGGCGAAAATGTGTGTGTGTTGCCAGAATGAACTGGCTTTATATTGGATCCCAGCCAGACCTAAACAAACAGCAGGCGTGAATTGGCTCATAATTATTCAATAACAGTTTATTTAAAACAGACCATTAGGACTTCATTGATGAAAATTAATTAAGAGCAACGATTATTCAAACACCCATAACAAATTTTAAATTTACACGACAGGCACTTGAAAAGCGAACCAATCATATACAGGGTATATTTCCGACTTTAGGTATTTTTTCGATTTTTATGTCAACTGTTCTGGATGATTTTTGGTAATTCCTTCTTTTGGTTTGAATTTTCTGGAAGTTTTGGCACAATTTATGGTATTTCCTTTTTTTTTTGGTCCACAATTTTATAGAGTAGGGTAGATATGCTTAAACTCGATTTTCTGGAAATTTCCGTTGATGAATACACAAGCGTTTTTAGCCTGCTGAAACGTGTTATGAATAAATCATCTCGGTTTCTCTAAATATATTTTAAAAATCAATAAAAATTCGCACATTAGTCTACTTAAATTAGGATATAAAAATCTAGAATTTCATGATCTATCATACGTTCTGCACTGGATGGTATTTTTTGCCTTCTCTGGCATACAAATAAATGCACAGCAAGATAAAGCAGTCCAAGGCAATAAGCAACTTCAGTAAGTTTAACTGCATTAATTGCATGCGCACTACTCGCAGATCTATAAAACAGCCAATCCATTAGGTAAAAATATGTAGGATATGACCAACCAACTCACCATCTTCTTGTTGTTGTGCCTGCAGCAATTGCAGCTCAAGTTCGGGCAGCAAATAATTCGATTCCTGGTCTAGTGTCACCCTGAAATTCACAAGCTGATCGGTTATATCCAGGGGATTATTTCCAATAGCAGCTGGCAGGCAAAAATCCAGCCATTGGATCGTTAAAAAGAGGATGCAGAAGGAGTTACTAAACCGAGACATTGTCGATCAACGACTGATGAGGGAAGAACTCTTTATGAAATGCCCCCGAGTCGAGGTTCCCCAACATTTGCGTAAATATGGAAAAAATGAACACACGCTCTGCGAGAAATGTTGTTACTGGTACTTGTATTTATATACACGTTGCTTAAATAAAGTCAAACCAGCCATAAAGCAGCTGAAAAGCAAACAATGACGAGCAATATCCGATGCGAAGGTTAGGCGACAGAATTTCTTTTTGTCAGGGAGCTGAAGTTCTTGTGGGTGGGTGTAGCTGATATCGTAGTTAAATCTTCCGATTTCCTGGTTTATTTCCCTTTCTTCCCTTTTTTCCCTTTTTTGGTGGATTCCTCAGCCGATGTTTCTGATTCCGTAGTTGATGTAACTTCTGTGGTGGATTCGTCAGTCGATGTTTCTGCTTCGGTACTGGAACTGGTGGACGTATCTTCTGTGGTGGATTCCTCTGTCGAAGTTTCTGATTCCGTGGTTGTAGCCTCTGTTGTGGATGTATCTTCTGAAGATGTTCCTGCAGATTCTGTGGTAGTATCCTCTGAAGATTTTTCTTCTGATTCGGTAGTAGTTGATTCTTGAGTACTTGATTCCGTCGTTGAATCCTCATCTTCATCGCCATCCCCATCGCCGGAGCCGGAGCCGATACTACCCAATAGATTCATAAATCCCTGCAATGAAACAAAAGTTCACAATATTTTAAAACTATTTAAAATTATACAAAAAAAAATTATAAACTTCTAGCAAATGTCGTACCGTTTTGAAGAATTTAAAAAGTCTGTCTTACGCAAACAATATACAGAACAATATTTGAATTTCTAGAACAAAGCATTTAAACCTCAATACTAATTTCTAAATTAAGTGGCCCAGAAATCTATTTACCAAAAAGTCTTCAAAAGTGAAACACAATTTTAGAGAAAAACCAAACTTAAGTCAATACCAATTGTCTAACAACTGAACAGCGAGATTTTTTAAATATGTCTCTTAAGCAAACTAATAAAGATGTTGTACATATATTTTTCGCGTGGAAAATTCCATTTCTAGTAAAAGTTTTAATCTTAGTTTTCGATATTTATCTCGGAAAATCTAGAACTTTTCTTAAAATGTCTACGGAAATCGCTTTAAAATTTACCTTCATAAAGTGGTTCACTATACCGCCTAACAGATTCGGCGGTGAGCCCGTAGATTCGGCTGTTTTATTGTGACTGCTGTTGTCTCCGAGTCCAAAGATATCCATTATTCCGCCTAGAATATCATTGCCGGCTGAATCATCTCGTCCCGAAGGCTTTAGAATATGATGCAAGAAGCCATTGGCATTGGCCAGACAGCCAAGCAGGCAAATCAAGATAATCACTTTCATTTTGATCACTTTTTTTCTATCCTACAGCAACAAGCAGATGTGATCTAATGACTTGGAAAACGCGGATACAATTCGTTTTTGACGGCGCTCTCGAGCTGATTATACTCAATAACCCTGAATCTAATTCAATAAACGGCTGTTTAAATATCTCAAAAGTCAAAAGAACTCACATCGTTTGCTGCAGGTGTGCGCTTGAATCATGAATGAACCGTGTCATGACATAAGCGTTCTTAGAAAAATATTTAATTTATAACATGAACGTGATCAAACATTTATGCGCCATTACCTGTGCAAGAATAGAAAAGTAATACACGTTTCAACTTTGGTATTTTCAACTCTAAGAATATTTATGACTTCTAACGTTTAACATTTTAATAAGTAGTTTTCAAGGTAAATGGTTTTGTTTACTATTCAAAAGATTTCGGGTGAAAATAAAATGCTTAGAAATATTTATAAGGATTTATTTATTTATAGAAGGACAATAGTACTCCTAATATCATTTATAATATTATAATATTAAATAAATATCAATATATCAATTTACTTATAAATACTCCAAGCTACATTATTGAAAATGATTAAAATAATTTAATTTATTTAACTATTAATTACAATGATGTCAAAAATGTCATCAATATCACTCCAGAATTTTATTTACATTTTATTTCAGCTAACGAGCATTAAATTCGATTATTCCCTGTCCTCAAACTCCTTGAGGCTGCTCTTTGATCACCGCTGAAATGGGATTTTCCAGCAATGTGTCATAAAAGCAATGCATTTTGCCGTGATACTCCTCGCAAAGTCGGACATCTAATTGGCCCTAATATCGCTGTCATCCGCACTGGCACCCCACTTGCACTCAGCCAGCATTATGGCTTTGATCTGACTTAGACATATGCCCAAGATAATGGCGTTGGCGTTGGCAGATGCACTTGGGGTGTTCGTGAGGTGTAGGTTGTGCGACTCTCGAGCGCATCGAGTTGTAAGCGGTAGAAAAGCATATCAAATGCATTCACGAGCAGCAGCGTTTTAAATTACTCACAACGTTGAGAGGACGGGATGATGACTCAGTCAGTTTGGGGGGAGGATATGGATGTAGAGTGGGGTTCACCCCATTCAAAGGCGATGTGTGCGAGTGAGTTTCAATTAATATGCAGCAATTGCTTGCTTACGCCTCGGTTATCTACTGCCACCTAATTGTTTATTTATGTGCACTTCCCTTGCCATCTAATTAACTGGGTGCAGCATGTGGATTACCTGTCATTTCCACCCGTTGTTGTTTATCGCCTGTTTCAATTGATCAAATTTGCTCGAGGAAATCAAGCGTCCGCACAAAAGCAGCTCGCAAGTAGCAAGTAGCAAAGTAGCAAGGACCTAATAAAAACGAGGATATGGCAGCAGAAACTAGCAGTCTCATCATCACTTGGCCCCCGCAGCCTGATCTATGGCACTGCAAGTGTCACATAAATTACAAGCGGAAGCATCAAAATGCTGTCAAATGAAGAATGGGGGAAAGCTGGGTGGCGGGAGTTGATTTGAGTCGCGACGAAAAGGATTTTCATTGCCGTATTCTGGTAGATAGTTCAACTTGCAGTGCACAGAGGAAAATGAAAAGAAATCAGGTATTAGGCAAACAATTTTAATTTAGTGTGACCATAACACTTAATGAACTTAGATTTTGCACAGTCTGACCTTGCCTTTACTAAGAAGGGGTAAATTAGGAACATTTGCAATGAAAACCATTGATTTGAACCAATTTTCTCTCTGTACCGCTGCTTGGCTTGACTTTGGTTCGGTAGCTTGGCGTTTAGTTTTCGCATTGGCACTTTGTCTTCATCAGAGACGACGAGCGGTGGCCGCAACAAGCTCATCATAGCCATCGACGGCCGCATCATCGTCATCTTCATCGTCATTCTCATCGCTGTCGTCGTCGTCGTCGGCGTGCTCCTACATAGCTATAAACATCAATTTAGCAACGAAAATTGGTTTTCAGATAGCTTCCACACACACACACGTACACTTCTTCAGCTGGAGAAAAATTGTTTTTCGCTTTAAGTGACAAGCAGTGAGGGCGAACTGACGACAACTTTGTCGATGTCTTCGTTCCCGTCTTGTTGGATTGGTGTAGTATTCCCTTTTTTATTTATTTGTTTTGCTTCTTTTTAGGGGCTAGTGAATTTCGTCATGTCGAGGCACCCGTGTGGAAAATAATAAACCAAGAGCAGAGACACTGTAAAATAAAAAGTATTGCCCCACTTTCATCGGTGACTTTAACTAGCATATTTCAAGAGCCTGACTTTGATTTCGAATGCGACATAAATAAATATGTATACATATCAATATTGCAGCATTTCGGGGCGACATTGAGACGAGCTGACCACGCCCATTCATGGCCATAAATTTATCATTGCATAACCGCAGGCGCATGAATAAGACATTCGAGTTGTGGCAAATGGAGTGGGAAGAGTGGGTAGCCAGCATATATTGATAATGATTAGATTGATTGAAATTTTAATGGCCGAGTGAGGCTCTAAGCCGAGACGTAAAATGCCAACAGAAGCTGTCATAAACCACAAATACAGACCACTTCACTGCTGAAAGCGTTGAAAGCGAAAATTATTTAAATTTATTCTTCGCTCGAAAGGGAATAAACGAAGTAAAAAACGAAGACGACCGAAATGTGGGCCAAATGAAATTCGTTCAAAATGTTATGCAAACCTCAACAAATTGTCATTAAAAGCGGCAACCAGACAGGACTTGGCTATAAACAGAGCCGCCATTTGACCGTCCATATTTATGATGTGAACGACAAGACAAAATGGACTTCCGGTCGGCGAAAAGGGGAGGCCATGGAATCCCGGCTCTTTGCATTTTAATAGACTGACCCAAACGCTTTTGGAACCACATGCAGAACGCGAAAACACAAACGCCTGCACATGTGTGTGTATATTAGCCGGGGGTATGAAAAGCATTTGCAATGCAAATTGGCAAAAGTTTAAAAAATTTATGCGGCTTTAATGGCACCTGGCGTCTGCAGACCGGACCACGGATCCAAAAACCAGACCACACCATACAACACCACTGCAACCAAGACTATTCCAGGAAATTATATACTAAATAGCAGTATAATTTTTTTGGCATTTGTGCTGCTCATTTTTTGTTTTTTTTTGCCTTCTACTGCCGTTTTTGTCGACTACATTAAATGCAAATTTATGCCTATTTGCTGCAAGAAAGTGTAACGGAACCTTTCTGTTGCTAGCTGCTTGTTAAACTCGCATAAATTTCGCTGGCGGCTTCCCATTTCGCCTGACACTAAAAGGATAGTAGCACCAGAGATGGTAAAGGATATGTTTGCCAAGGTGAGGTACAAGTTAGAGGGGGGAAATATGAAATACTTTTTGGTACAACAAAATTATGTTTAGTCTGAAAATATATCCTTAGATTTTTTATTACAATATTAAGACACAACAAAAAGTACAAACTACTAAAGCAACAGAAATACATAGCGTTTTGAAATCATACTTTTAGACACCTTTTTAAAATTTATTTAGTAAATCAAAAATGTATTTTTGTGGCATTTTCACTGCATATAACATATTTTCCAATATAATTCCTAAAGCTAATTTCCTCCTTTCAGTAAAAAAAAAAATATTTTTCGCCGATATACAAAGAGTACAATTAAAATTCAACTCCAAAATTAGGTACCAATTTTAGAATATAGGTACAAGAACTACCTCCCACCACTGAAAAAAATCCCATCTTACACCCAACTATTGAGCGTTTCATCAAAGGCATGGGCGTGCCTTAAGGGGGGTAAAAAGGCTAAAAAAGGCTAAATCAAGGGATTGGCAATGGCTAAACTATGGCAAACTATCGCCACTTGCATTGTGCATTCGAGCATTCGAGCAATGCTCGCAACTTATTGTTGTTATCGCTCTTTGCACTTCTTTTGACTTCTTTTGGCTGCCACTTGGCAGGCGGCAAACTCTTTGGAACTTGGCTAAGTAAAATTTATGTGCATTTCTTGTTTGGGCCTCTTCTGTCCCTTTAGTGTGAAATGTGCCAAGAAATGTTTGGTTTTGTCTCTCTGGTTTTTTGCTCTCATAGGCGCAGCAGCGGCAGCAGAAGTTGCATTGGAAAAACGTTAGCTCCAAATAATTAGCCATTAACAATTGGCCCAAGAACGTCTGTTGCCAATTTCCTTTTTGGGGCCATCGCTGTAAAAGTTTTACCCTTTATTGTGCCTGGTTTATCCCATCTTGAGTTGCCCTGGCAAATTGCTGCCTTGCTGCACTTGCAACTTTTTGCCTGACGCGCTCAATAAAACGATTTATGCTACTTGCCCCCCAAAAACTTGGCGAACTTTCGGCCAACATTTGTTTTGTCTATTGCCTTGTATCTTGTGGCATTTCTGGCAGCCTCTCTCTCTTTTGGCCACTTGACTTGGCCTAAACTCTCCAACTTATTAGTGCAGTTTATTCACCGACTCAAGAAGCTGCGTGCGGTTTGTCTTGTGGGCTGCGCATAAATCTCGGCGGGGCAACTTTTTGGACACGGCCAGCAAATAAACACCCGGGGTCATAAATCAGGGGCAACATGGCCAACATGACGTGCAACATGCACCGCACAAAAAAAGCTGCATTCTGATGGTTTGGCCACCCGAAAAAAGAGGCAAATCGAAGCTCCTTGGGCGTGGCTAATGCAAATCATCCGGCGGCGGCGGCGACAACAGCTGCACATTTTAGCTCAAATTGGCCAGGCTAACTTGGCAAATTCATGGTGCTGCAATGCTGAACGCCCCTGCATAATTTATCATTTATTTGGGCTCATTACCCCGTTACAGAATATGAATAATAAAACGGGTAGCGGGTTAAAAAATAAAACTGCATTGCTAATTGAAGGAAATTTGAACTGCACTTAAAGCTCGATGTCATGTCAACACATTTTGAGGCTTTGCTTTCGGGGAAATTGTGCAACGACCTGGATTATATTTTGCGGGCTTGCCACCCGCTGTTCTGCTGAACAATCGTTGTTCGATTTGTGGCACCTGCTACGTTTTGGCCACCTTTCAAACTGCAACT